AATAATAAAAAATATAAAAATTGATATTAATTTTAATATCAAATGAATTTAATTAATAATTAATAAATTAATAAATTAACTTTTATTTGTTCAATACAAATTTATAACAAAAGATTATATTTAATATACCCTAAACATACATTCTTAAACAAAATATATATATATATATATTTTTTCAATTCATTACTAATGACTTCTTATTTCATTCATAAAAATTTAGATTTTTAATTTATCATGTTGATTCCTATGTCTTACCGTTACAAGTTCCAACCCCCTGGTTAAGAGTGCAATCTTCTCTTTTTTCTCCCATGCCTCTGCTCTTTCATTTGTTGTTCGATGTCAATGAGCTTGATTTGTACAGTAGTTTTTAATTTTTATTTTTCTCTGAATGCTTAATCCAATTTGATTTCCAATTTTGCACGAATTGGAGCACGCACCTCAAAAACAATTGTCGGTGTTGGAACTTGGACCAACCTCGTATATACTCAACGATGCCTCTGCCTTATTTGAACAATAAAATTTGATTATGGTTTTCAACGATCCCTTCACGTTTTTATTCTGCATCAGTCTCTATTATTTCTAGAATTATTTATTGTTTCAATTGGAGTTGGTGAATGATTATCTTGATCAGTCCCTGTGCTTATTAGTTGTTTAATGGTTTTCAAGCAGCGTTTAATTGCTGGCATGCTGCCTCCAAGGAAATCCATCATATATTCTTTAATGGTGGTTAAATTTTTTAAAGACAGATTCCTTTTCTTTTTGGCCCTTTAAGTGACAAATTATTTTTTATAATGGCATGGATCCGTCTTCCACTAAGTCTTTTGCTTTACGTTATAACATGGAGCACGTGCACAATTATTGATGGCTTTGTATACTCATTTTGTACTTCTCTTATTGTCTCCATGGTTTTTCTTGGTAAATTTATTGTCCACATGGTTACTAAGCATCTTGGAGAAAACATGTACCCCCTAACCTCTTGTAAATTCCCCATAGTTTTATATTCATTTGTGCTGCAGATTTCTCTCAGCACCTGATGGAAATTCAAGTTTCCTTTTGGCAGCCCCAAATTCTCAGCTTTTATTTTTTAAAATAAAAAATTGTAGGTTAAATGCTAATTTTAATCTGTTAACTTTAAGATTTTGCATAACTTTAAAATTTTACATAATTTTCATCTCTCAAATTTTTTTTCACTTTTTTGATCCATTAACTATAAAAAATATATTTTTTTAATCTTTCCATCAGTTAATCCATTAAATCTATCTGAATTTACATACTTTAATCTCTCAATTTCTAATATATGCACATTTTTTGTCCCTCAACTTTAAGTTGAGAGACTAAAAATATGCGTTGAGAGACAAAAAAAAATGCAAATTTAAATAGATTTAATGGATTAATTGATTGAAAACAAAAAAAAAAATATACATTTTTCATAGTTAAGAAACTAAAAAAGTGCAAAAAAAAGTTGAGGGATGAAAATTGTGTAAAATCTTAAGTTGAGGGATCAAAATTGACATTTAACCAAAATTGTAATTAAATTTATTTTCCTTTTCATATCAAATACTAACATTTTGTAAAATTGAGTACAACAAACGGAGACAAAGTGTATACAATACAGATTCAACTTCTTCGACATAATGTACAAAAGTTAGGAGAAAACCCAATTGATCTAAGGTCTCATTGGCATATTTTTGAGAAAATATAAAAACGTGATAATAATGAAGCTCCTTTTAATATAGTTGTGGTTGATAGTTTTTTATTTTAGATTTTAAAAATTTTACAATTGCTAAATACTAAAATAAAAACCATAAAATAAAAATTTGTTAAAGTTAAGTTTTAAAACTACAGACTTATTTAATAGTATTAAAATTATTTTTATTTTTATTTTTCTTTAATAATCATAATCAATATTAAATCATATAATAAATAATTTTTTATTTAAAATTACAAAATTTATTTATAAAAATTAAAACTAAAAATTAGAAAACGATGACCACCCCTAAACGGGCCTAAATAATTAACTAAGCCGAAATGCAGCCCATTTCCCTCATCTACTTTTATTCCATTTTCAAAGTTGGGCTGCTTACATAATGTTTAGTTGACATAGGCTCGCCAACCGGACCTGAGGCCAGTGGTTGGCCCCTAAGCCTTAGGACTTGGGTGAGGCGGAGGTCAGGGTTTCGAGCTTTGCTACCGTCGTGAACGCCCCCAATTTGCGACCTAATGATTGTGCGCCTCATATGAGGGGGTGGAATGTTCACCAGTGTGGGAAATCTTAATTGTTAACATCTAACTCTACTAACTTCTTAACTATTACCCTTATCAAAAAAAAAAAAAAAAAGTTGACGTAGGCTCAATCCAACCCTAAACTAACCCTACTGGTCATGTTTGGAGTGTTGGGTGGGTTTTGATCGGACAAGATAAAGATAATAAGAATATTGATTGGACAGCAATAATTAGATGGTGTCCAATCTTATATTTAAGTATAGGAAGATTGAATATAAATATATGAAATAATATTTATC